CAACGACAATAGCCGACCATTGTGAATGCCCTGTCTTGAACCATAAATATACAGGTCATATAATAGGATTGCATCTCATTGGTCACATCACATGATAAGCTTGTGTCTGATTGGTTAATTCTTCGTACCAGACATCCGTATAAAATACAGGCACCTGATTTTTAAAAAAATTCACTTTGGAGCAAAAAGGGTAGGTGATTACTATTATCATTTTTTGTAAATCAAATCAAAATTATACCTATTTTTTGTCAGATTGGCAGAAAATGTAGCTTTTGGTGTGCCGCAGGATTTTAGGATTTGTTGGTATGTGCTTGCAATGAACAAGGCTGAAAACCACTTGTCTAGTTGTGGCCTGACCAGTGGTTGGAGCTCCAGTTACCTCCATTGGGGATCTTCCAAACTAAGTCATCAAGAGAGCAGCCCTGGCAAAGCCCACAGTGTGAGACGTGTGCGTACAACTTATCTACAAGAGTGAAAGCGTAAGATGCTAATTAGACCGGACGTCCTTCCGGACGACTTTCCCGATGAAGCCGGGGCTGCGGGGCGAGGCAGAGGAGGCGGCCGCCTGGGTGGCGGGCTGAGCCCCTTGCATGAATTTCATGCATCGGGCCTCTAGTTTTAAGATAATTATGTCTTCTTATGCATTTGACAAAACTTTCCTTCATGCCATGTCTGCAAAATTGAAAACCTTGTAAAATTGTAGTAAAAGGTGGAAAGTGATGCTTTTTAGTTCCTGGATCAGCTTTTCAGGAAGAAGGAGATTTTAAGAAGCAGAAGAGCTAGAGGGGGCCATGGGGGGAGGAAAGTATGCAGGTCAGGCGTGCCCGGTTGTTGGGGGCACTTGGCCGGTGCCAGGCGCCTGCAGAGCAGAGACATAATAACGTGAGCATTCGTCATGGCTTTCCTGTGCATGGCCGTCCTCACCCGCTCCCGAGGGAAGATGGGAATGTCACTTTGCCACGATCAGCAACACCAGGCAGAGGGCGCGATGGGGGAGAAACCCGTTTAGAAAAGACAGAAGCATGCAATGTTGACTTCGGGGGAGGCCAGGCCTGTGGTTCTGTCTTCCCACCCGTTTGTCCAGCTGTGAGATTGGTCCTCTGAGCATCGTCTTCCTCCCAGGCCTGCCAGGACCACAGCCCGCCTTACTCATTCTCATTATCCCCCCACCAGCCTCGGGACCACTCCGCGCCTGGAGGAGGCACACGGCGCTGGTTGAACTGAACTGAAATGACGAAGCATAAATTCTCTACCTCAGGTTATAAGGCAAAGTCGGAAACGCAGGTTTGCAAGTCCTCTAATTAGAAATGTTTCAAAGACACAAAACATTTATAATCTATAATAATAAAAGCATAATATGCTAATTAGACTGGACGAACTGGGGCTGTGAGGGAAGCCCAGTACCGGGTGCCTGCAGGCGGCCAGAGGGGAGCCGGTGCAGCAGCCGGGGGAAGGAAGGTCTACTCTTGCACAAATTCCATGCATCGGGCCTCTAGTTATGCTATAATTTTATAAGTGCTTTATGTTATTTGAAACAATAATACTAAGTAATTAAATGAAGATAATTTAGATCAAGATCACGGGCTTTAGTCGTATTAAAAATTATCACTAATAAAATGTATATAAATAATAGCGTATTATTACTTATTTACTGCTATAAGCCTTCATTGGCACTGAGTAATCATTATCATAGAAAACCTCAAACCCTAACTGGTTTGGCTCAGTGGATAGAGCATTGGCCTGAGGACTGAAGGGTCCCGGGTTCAATTCCAGTCAAGGGCACAGGCCTGGGTTGCAGGCTCAATCTCCAGTAGGGGGTGTACAGGAGGCAGCCCATCAATGATTCTCTCTCATGATTGATGTTTCTATCTCTCTCTCCCTCTCCCTTCCTTTCTGAAATCAAGAAAAAAAATATTTTTTTTAAAAAAGAAAGCCTTAAATATTGATACTTTTGAGCACCTATTGTGTGTAAACAGTGGGTTAAAAATGTTATAAATGCCATCACAGCCTTAAAAAGCTTTTAAGAGAGATTACTCCCCACATATAACAAATGAGGAAGCGGAGGCTGAGTCGTGTGATTTTTTCCGAGGCCACAGAGAGAGTTGCCAAATAGCAGAACTAGCTTTTCAACCCACATGTTTCTGCCCATCTGAAGCCAACACTCGTAACCACTCAGATGTGTCATTGGAAAACTAGAAAATGAAAATAACTGAGCGAAGATTGTTTAGTAATTACCAAGTAAAGTGTCACAATTCCCCTTCCTGTTAGATCCCCAAACCTCCCTGCCTTGGAGCTGAGGTTCAGAATGGCTCAGGTGCTGCTGCCCTCAGTCAGGCGCAGGGAGCTGGAACGCATCAAGTTTGAGTGAGAGAGATAGCTAATCAAAACGGACCATCAGACGAGGGGCTGGCGACAAGTTGGGAGACAGTGCGGAGCCAAACGGTATTCGGAGACTCAGACCCTGGGAGGCAAGGGGCACTGGGGCATCAGGCTGGCGGGGGGCTGACCCGAGAATCACAGGCCAGACTTCCTGGTCTTGGGCCCTGGCCAGGCAGAGGCATTTAAGGCACTAAGATGTGAGGGAAAGCTAGGGACCTCCTGCTGCACTTATTTTGTGCATTATAATCCTATCTAAGAAAAGACAAAAAGGGTAATTAACCGTACCTCCGCTACGCTTCCCATCGGCTAATCAGGGTGATATGCAAATTAACCGCCAACAAAGATGGCGGTTAATTTGCATACGCTGACTCCAAGTGGTGGAGCGAAGCCAAACAGCCCCGAAGCCAGCCCAGCAGCGAGGCCTTAGGGCCCCGGATCAGTGTGACAGGGGGCAACTCCCCCTTCCCGATTACCCCTGCTCTGTGCCTGACAGGGGGCAGCATCGCTACCTCCGATCCGCCTGCTCTGTGTGTGACAGGGGGCGTCGAAACCCCCTGATCCGCCCTGCTCTGTGCGTGACAGGGGGCAGTGCCCCAACTCCCTGATCGGCCCTGCTCTGTGTGTGATAGGGGGCAGTGCCCCAACTCCCTGATTGGCCCTGCTCTGTGTGTGATAGGGGGCTGCACCCCAACCCCCTTATCGGCCCTGCTCTGTGCCAGAGAGGGCGGCGTCACAACCTCCCCATCGGCCCTGCTCTGTGTATGACAGGGGACGGCATCCCAACCCCCTGATCCTCCCTGCTCTGTGTGTGATAGGGGGTGGTGCCCCAACTCCCTGATTGGCCCTGCTCTGAGTATGACAGGGGGCAGTACCCCAACCCCCCAATTGGTACTGCTCTGTGGGTGACAGGGGGTAGCACCACAACCCCCTGATCAGCCCTGCTCTGTGGGTGACAGAAGGCAGCACCCCAACCGCCCGATCGGCCCTGCTCTGTGTGTGACAGGGGGCAGCACCACAACCTCCCCATCGGCCCTGCTCTGTTCATGTAGGGGGGAGCTCCCCAAACTCCTGATTGGCCCTGCTCTGTGTGTGACAAGGGGTGGCACCCCAACTCCCCTATCGTCCATGCTCTATGTGTTTCAGGGGATGGCGCCCCTACCCCCAGATCGGCCCTGCCCTAAGCATGACAGGAGGTGGCACCCCAACTCCCGGATCGGCCTGCTCTGTGGGTGACAGGGGGCAGCACCCCAACCCCCTGATCAGCCTGCTCTGTGCGTGACAGGGGACAGTGCCCCAACTCCCCAATCGGCCCTGCTCTGAGCCCGACCAGGGGCTGCGGGACAGGCACCTAGGGGTTGGGCCTGCCTTCTGCCACCCGGGAGTGGGCCTAAGCCAGCAGGTCATTATCTCCTGAGGGGTCCCAGACTGTGAGAGGGCACAAGTGGGGCTGAGGGACCCCCCCCCCTCCAGTGCACAAATTTTTGTGCACCGGGCCTCTAGTCCTTTATACTGTCCCTAGAAAAGACAGGATGGGGTTTTTCTATTAGCACCGTTTTATAGCAATCCTCCCCACATTCACTCCTGCGGGAGTGAAGGAAAAGGTTGGGCATTTATTTTCACACAGCGCTGTGTAGCCAGGCGTTCTAACCTCTTCCTCCGCCTTTCCTCACTTGTCCTGTATAGTCAATCCCAAATTCATATTTCAATAGGAAATTTATTTTATTTTACTTTAAATATATTTTTATTGATTTCAGAGAGGAAGGAAGAGGGGGAGAGAGAGAAAGAGAGACATCAATGATGAGAGAGAATCATTGATCGGCTGCCTCCTTCACACCCCCTAATGAGGATCGAGTCCGCAATCCTGGCATGTGTCCTTGACCAGAATCGAACTTGAGACCCTTCAGTCTGAAGGCTGATGCTCTATCCATGAGCCAAACCTGTAGGACAATAGGGAGTTTATTTTAGCAAAGAACATGTGCATCCAACGAGTCTTGTTAACCTATTAGTGTTTAGTTTGTATTTTATTCATTGTTGGATACGCGAATGTGCGGTTGTGTGATAGTCACAGGCATGAGAGAGCATTCCTACTCTCTTTCTTGTTCATGTAAAACGCGTGTCATTCAAAACATCTTGGTCTACGAATGGGAAGCCCGTGATTTTTCTCTTGTAAAGGGATCTGCGTGTTGTTTAAGTTTTACAAACACTTCCCTGGAGAACTCTGTGACCAGGGCTAACCAGCCACTGTTACAGAGCAGACCAGCCGGGAGGAGAGGGATCAGCGGAGCCAGGGGCCCGGAGCCAGGGGCGGGGGGCTGCTTGGATGGTGGACCGGCGAGGAAGGCTCTCTCTGTGTCTCACCCAGGCTCTCTCTGTTTCTCGCCAGCTCTTCCAGGAAGGAAGGCCGGACGCATCCTGGTATAATTTCTGTCTTGTCCTGTCTATTTGGGAGCCAGCTGCTCAGAGCTCAGCGTGAGGCTCGGCAGCCACACGGGCGGCGAGGTGGGCTCTGCGGGGAGTTTCCACCCTTCTGGGTCTGAGACATGTTGTGAAACACTGGCTGCCTCTGGGGGATGGTGTGGGGTGCTGAGTGGGCTTTGCAGAGGGAGCAACCCTTCTGGTGGCTAATGTGTTCGCAGCTCACTGTCTATGGGGGGCAAAGGGTTACAGGTGTGAGGATGGGAAGCATAGTTTATTCTCGTGTTTTATTTGTGTATTATTGTATTATTTATTATTGTTAATCTATTTTACCCACCCTGTATATATTATATTAATATGCTAACACGTTAACAAAATGATTATATAATTATACTAATTATATTATTATAT